ATACATGGACACTGTTCAAAGGCCATATGAGGACCCAGTGAAGAGTCAGCCATCTGCAAGCCACAGAGACAGGCCTCAGAAAAAAACAAACCTGCCAACACCTTGAGATCTTGGACTTCCAGCCTCCAGAACAGTGAGAAAATAAATTTCTGTTGTTTAAACCACCCCAGTCTGTGGTAGTTTGTTATGACAGCCTTAGCAAAGCAATAGGGCTACCATCAGCATTATTTTTTTTCCATAATATTCTACAGTGTCAAAATACAAAAGCAAATTTCAATTTCCAAGATAATGATATTCAATACTTCCTCAAACTAAACATGACCCAGGATTTCATTTGGGGGTATATGCCCAACAGAAATGTCTGCTGACATCCATGATAAAGCTATTCACAGCAGCTTTCTTCCTAACAGCCCAACCTGGAAACAACCTAAATGTGCATCAACATGAAAGAGGATAAATACATTGTGGTATATTCACAAATGGAATACGACACAGATTTAAAAAAATACAGATACATGCAACAAGCAGATGAATCTCAAAATATAGTTTTGACTGAAAGAAGCCAAACACAACAGAATACATGCTGTGTGATTTTATTTAAATGAACTTCATAAAGAGCCCAAGCTAATTTATGATGATGATCACAGACATCAGACTCATGATGTCACTGGGTAGGTAGGTAGTGAATGGGAAAGGGAGTTTAGGGGACAGGTGTGATGAAAATTTTGTGTACATGATCTGACTGGTGGTTACGTGAGTGATTATATAAATTAAAACAAATCATGAAGCAGAATATTTAATATCAGCATGGTTTTTGTAAGTTACGCCTCAATTACAAAATGAAAAATAATATTATTCATTTCATGTTATTTTTAAATGTACATTTCATGATGAATAGGTCACAGGGCTTATATCAAATCTCTGGTACATCTTCTTTAATTTGGAATTTACAAGTTGGGCAGGAACCAGGAAGTTATAAATTTTACTGAGGCAACTCTTCTTGGAAATAATGCTATTTTTTTTTTAAAGTGTGATAAAACTTTTCTAAACACTTGATCTTTCACATCCTTTATTTGCACATGTTTCCCCCCATCTGCCCAGGGCACTTTCTTTATCCTCTTCTTCAGATGCTTGCCTCCAATATGGAAAATTACTTGTTCTTCCAGAGACTGTTCAAATGTCATTTTTGTGTCCTCTCTGAAGTCTCTTTCTACTGTCTAAAGCAGCCTTAATTAGTAGTCTATGTTCTTGAACTTATTCTACATTGTAATATGTTTTCATATGTGTGCCTCCTGCACTAAAAGATGCCCAAATTGTTGAATGAATAAGTTAATGAAATAAATTGTATATAGACTTAACCATAGGGTAGGAGTGAGGTTAGCTCTTTTAATTTTGTTAAGGGAATATTGTTTCTTTGATTAGAAGAGTTATCCTTCTTTATTGCTCACATGGTAATTTGTGCATTTCTTCTGATAGCTTGAATCAAAGTATAATTTATATGTCAATCTCCCCTACATGCTAAAAAATTTCACAAGTACCAGCACTGTACTTTATTTATTCTTATTACCCCATTACTGCACTTATTGGCATTATAGACAGTAGATGACACTTAATAGATGTTTGTTATATGATTATGAATCAGTGTATTTAGAAGCAGTCATTTAAACAGTGAATACAAAAAGTTGTCATATTTACCCATTCATGAGATTTACGAGTTACCATTTTCTGAGCTAAGTTAAATTTTTTTGAAGATCTCTTCTACCAGAGTACAATTTGCATCAGAAAATTTGAAAAGTCCTTCATGGGCAACAAAGTTTCCTAATAAATACTGAAAAATAAAGGTTTACTGGGAACCTATCTTGAAAAACAAGAGGAAAATTGTGAAAATAAGTTTACCTGGCATTGCATTTAACTAAGTTTAAGTTTTCAGTGCTCTTAAAATAAAGAATGAATAAAATATTGATTAGAGAATATGTATATATGTAAAGAATATATATATTCTAACTATATTATGTGGTAATTGCTATATGAACTCTTCCATTTTGTCTTTGATTTGAGCATGACTTTGAATATACTTGTCAATGAAGTCTTTAAAGAGCAGTAAAATGTCCCATTAATTTTATCAACTATCTTTCTTGACCCTTTGATAGCCATCTATTGTCATCAGCTTTGTTCCAACATTCTTCTTTTATATTAACCAGTATAAATAAGTCATATTTTCATTTGTGGATAATTTCAACTGTAAATTGAACATTTCTTACCATATCACTTTCATTAAATGCAAGAACTCCTACAACCTTTTCAAGATTCACAAATTATCTTTACAAAAAATTTGTAGTGTATTCTTAGTTTCTTGAGACACTGTCCACCAATTACAGAGACTTTCATACAATTGATGGAGTGAATAATTTTTTTTTCTTTTTTTTTTTTTTTAAGATTTTATTTATTTGTGAGAGAGAGAATGAGAGACAGAGAGCATGAGAGGGAGGAGGGTCAGAGGGAGAAGCAGACTCCCCGCCCAGCAGGGACCCCGATGCGGGACTCGATCCCGGGACTCCAGGATCATGACCTGAGCTGAAGGCAGTCGCTTAACCAACTGAGCCACCCAGGCGCCCAATGGAGTGAATAATTTTAAACAGACAGCAAACTCTGAATGATCAGTCTTATAAGAATTATGTCAGTAAAAATGGTCCTATAAAGACCAGATTTTTGCTTCCTTTCATAACCTCAGAATCTGGATAGTAATTATATAATAATGCATGTTCATATAGTAAATACTCATGAGTAATCTATGGAATAAAATACATTAAATATAAGTGAGAATATACATATAACATATATATTATTAAATATATATTAAGTTTAAATATATATTAAATTAAATAAATATAACTATTCGATATATAAAAATTAAATATATATTATATATGTTTATTATTTATTAAATATAAATACATATATATATTCTAAGCAGTATTCTACATCATCTATATACATTATTATTCTTCAGAACAACTGTAGGACATAGGCAATTTTTATCCCTATTATGTAGATTAAAAGCAACAACAACAAAAACAACTTTGGTACATAAGATTAAGACTCTTACCCAAGAGGTAGAGGCAGGCTTCACACCAGAAAAGTCTGAATTGTCAGTTTCTTTACATACAATGATATATAGACATCCTTTTATATTTGTATAACTCTAGCTAACCCTTTCTTAGACCAATCTCAGTTAATGAGGTTTTAGGGAGTTGGGCAAAGTGATGTCTAGAAGTCTTCTATCTCTGTAACACATTAATATTGAACTATGTTCATCAGAACCACTAATTTTGATAATTACAGAATATTTCTGAAACTTTTATGTTTCTAATGCACATTACAAATTTCCATTTTAGTATATAAAAGATTCAGAAGCCTCTTTATTACAGAACACTAACACCTCATAAAATGCAGTTTGGAAAATGTTAGCTAAAAACAGGAATGTTTTTCCCCTTTAAATTATTTTACTCATCTTTCATCAGACATTCATCATTTGGAATATGACTGTGTTCACAATGAACTTGATTGTTCAACTCCTGTTTTACTTAAAGAAAATAGATGTTTCTTTAGATAATGTATTGCTATTCAATATGATTTACCCTTAAACAGACTTTGAATGGTAATTTTTATGGAAATCAAGAAAAATCCAAATGATATCCAATAAACCCAATATAATTGCAAATTGTCCCTCCTGAATATGAAAATTTGGGAACATTTTTTAAAAGTTTTCTTTCCAATCAGGCAAAATGCAACAACAGTAAGAAGTTTCCTTCTTTCAGTGTAATAAAAGTAAATTTAAGTGTACCTCCCTAGAATGGTTGGACAACAACAAAAAATATTGTGATATCAATATCCACACTTTTTACAAGATCCTGTTTTTTACAGCCACTCCATGGCCTCTAGTGCCAAATATAATCCCAAGATAGACTCTCTGCAATTTATGTCCTATGTATTAAAAACAAACCACATTTTACAATCTAAAAGGAAAATAAATTTATTCACTGTTTTTTTTTTCTAAAATAGGAAATTTACCCTGAAGTATTTGCAGGATTTTTTTTTTTAAATAACCATTTTCAAAATTAGGATGTGACAGATAGAAGCAGTTAAATATTTCATCAAGCTTTAGTATCTTCACAATTTCAGTCAACTTTGCTCTAACTTTATAGAAAGTGAAACAAGCTTACTATATATCTAATTTCCAGAGATCAGACAGAAATTTTGATAAAACAAAGTAATTCAATATTTGTAGGAAAGCACATCGGTAGGACCTACTCTGTTGTTCTGCCTCTCTCTGTGGCACCAGGAAGTGGTTTAAAGCCCTATAAAAACACAACATTGCTGGGGAAACTAATAGGTTGATGTAAGCGGAAATTCAATATAAGCGGGTTTGACAAATGTGGGGAAATTTAACATTGAGCCTGTGGGACTTTTGGGCAGACTTTTAAATTTGATTGATAGATTTAAGAATTTTATATATATGGATTCAATACAAGTGGGTATCATGGTATCAAAAAGCAATATTATCAACTAAAGAAGTTGCAAAACTCTATCTCCCAAGCATTGAATGTGTAATTTCTTTCTTTCTTTCTTTTTTTTTTTTTGCTACTAAAGTTAACTGTTGCTATCCATTTGTTTTTACCTAGTTTTGAAGTGGTTTTGCATTTGAGCATGTTTCTATTTGAGTGCCTTAGATATCTTCATTTTATCAAATCAGCATTTAGTGATGTACTCTGAGGACAATCTTTTCTACTACTTTTTGTTTGATTACAGTTTTGTTTTCTAATGCTATTTTAAAATTCAGTTAAATAAAATGTCTTCCAAATTAGGTTCTCAAAGAAACTTCCTTCATACATTGAATATATTCTTCTTTAGTCTAATGGAAAGGAGAAAAATGCTAACTATGTGAATAAAAGTAATATATATATATATATATTTTAAGATTTTATTTATTTATTTGACAGAAAAAGCACAAGCAGGGGCAGTGGCAGAGGCAGAGGGAGAAGTAGGTTTCCTGCTCACGTGCGGCTGGATTACAGGACCCTGGGATCATGACCTGAGCCGGAGGCGGACGCTTAACCAACTGAGCCACCCAGGTGCCCAAAAGTAATATTTTAAATGAAGATTAGTTTTCCTTTTTCTAGCCACCTTGGGGAATATCTATAAATCCTGAAATCGTCAGGTCAGAAACTATAAAAATAAAATTAGCAGTTATGAATGTGGCTTCACACTGCAATTTAGTTATTTTTAAACATTTTATTTATTTATTTGAGAGAGAGAAAGTGAGAGAGAGCACAAAGGGGTGAGGGGCAGAGGGAGAAGCAGACTCCCCGCCGAGCAGAGAGCCTGATATGGGGCTTGATCCCAGGACTCTAAGATCATGACCTGAGCCAAAGGTAGACACTTAACTGACTGAGCCACTCAGGTATCCCTTCACATTGCAATTTAAAAAAAATATGTATTTTTTAAAATAAACATCTTATATCCCACTCAAGCCTGTATTAGTTTACTTGGAGGTTCTGTACACATCATAAACATGCATATGTGAGAGATATTATCAAATTTATGATATACTGGGGCGCCTGGGTGGCTCAGTCGTTAAGTGTCTGCCTTCGGCTCAGGTCATGATCCTGGGGTCCTGGGATCGAGCCCTGCATCGGGCTCCCTACTCTGCGGGAAGCCTGCTTCTCCCTCCCCCACTCCCCCTGCTTGTGTTCCCTCTCTCTCTGTGTCTCTCTCTGCCAAATAAATAAATAAAATCTTAAAAAAAAATTATGATATACTTCTCTATTATATAAGATCCTATCTAACAAATAGTATTTTCATACTAAGCAATATGAATTAACAAAAAACATTCATGATCAAACATAGTGGAAGTGGTAGATAATTTTACTCATTGAAATACACATAAATCTAAAATTAAAGAAAATGAATCAGTCAATCCAGTTCATACTATTAGTTGCAAGATAGACTATAAGCATGAACTAGCTTTGCTCTAGAGATATAGATTAAATAATAGTAAGGCTGGAGATATGCTACTGGAAAGACATGTGGAAATATATATATAAATAAATATATATAAATTATATAAATGTATATGAATATACAGACAAACATATATATGTGAGAATATATAGACAAATGAATGTAAATTTATCTTCTAGATTTAAGATTTAAGTTTACCCAGATATTAAAATAGTAATTACAAAATTAATATGTGATTAAAAATTTTAAATGCTGAAACCTATATCCAAATTTAAAAGAATATTTTTGCTCCATTAAAAAGGATTTTTGGTGTTATTTATTCTCTACAGATCTGAAAGCAATTCACACAAGGAAATCTCTATAATATCTATTTCAATAAGATATAATGTATTATATAAATCATCATAAAAAGTTGGGCCAGCATTCAATTTTTTTAAATGAATGAATGAATTAATTAATTGAATTAATTAATATTTCAAATATAAGACATCTTTGATTACTAGATTCCATGGGAATCCACTAAAGTAGCATCACTTATACTAGCAATTCATTTTGTAGAAATAGAGGATACATAAAGTTTAAGCCATAAAAATATTGTACCTTATTAATAAATATGTTACCCTCTGTTTCACTTACTTAAGTGTATTAGAGTTCTCCAGAGAATCAGAACCAACAGGAGGTTGAGAAGTGCCATGATCTGTCATCTGCAAGCCAGAGAGGCTCAAGAAAGCCCGTGGTGTAGTTCCAATCCCTACCCGAAGGCCTGAGAATCAGGGGAGCCAATGGTGTGAGTCCTGGTCCAAGTCTGAAGGCCCAAGAACCAAGAGCACCAAGGTGAAGACATATGTCCCCACTTAAGCAGAGGGCAAATTCACCCTTCCTCAGAATTGTTGTTCAATTCAGGCCCTCCAAGGATTAGATGATGCCCACGTACACTGGTGAGGGAGCATCTTCTTTACTCAGTCTACCAATTCAAATGCTAATCTTTTCCAGAAACACCCTCTCAGACACATTCAGAATAATGTTTTTACCAACTATCTGGGCACCCCTTAGCCCAGTCAAGCTGACACATAAAATTAACTATCACAGCAATTGTCTTATAATTAGTTGGATAGTGATTTAAGTACAGAGTCTGGGCCATAATACAGGTCTATCTATTGATTTTCCTGGCATACTATCAAAATAAATATAATTGTGCATTGTTGGGGTTAATGTAGAGCATGAAGTCATCCATAATACCTGGCTTGCTAAAATGTTAACACGGAGGCCGCTGGGGGCAATGGAAGGTTTCGGAGAAGGGAGTGGGCCTTTGGAATGCCGGGCCAGCTCACCACTCCGCCAGAGGAATGCCACGGGGAATTACCTTTCCCGAAGTTCTCTAACCCCAAACAGCCGCCCTGTGATCTAAGAGATGTCCGCATTGTCCCTTAGGCTATGTTTAGCAGAACTCAGAGAACACACAGATTAGGATATCGTATCTTTCCCGTAAACAGATCCTCCTAGTTCCATTAAGACCCCTTGTCAACACATCCCGTGCTTGAGAAGCAGTGATAAGGATTTGTGATTCTCCTGAAGGACCAATAAAAGCTGGAGCAAAGAAGAGCAAAGCGTCTTCGTCTCTGAGCATTGACCCCCTTGCCTTCTCCTCTCTTTCAACGGCAAAGTCTGGAGTCATCTTTCATCCTCGGTACAGGGATTGCTGGCCATTCCCGGCAGTGCATTTCATGTATTTTCTCTAAGAAGACTTTTTTTGTTTTTGCTGGTTTAAATCTAAAAAGAAGAAAAGTGACAGCAATTTTTCAGCCTTAGAAAAGAAGAAAATTCTGTCATTTGCAACAACATGGATGAATCTGGAGGATATTATGCTAAGTAACATGTTAGACACAGAAGAAAGCGAATACTACATGAACTCACGTATATGGAATCGAAAAAAAATGTAATGCTGGAAGCAGAGTGGAATGGTGCTTGCCAGGGTCTGGGTGGTGAGGGAAAAGGCAGATACTGGTCAAAGGATATAAAAGTTTCAGATATGCAAGGTGAACCGGTTATGGAGAGCTAATGTAGAGCAATGTGACCATCGTTAATAATACCGTGTTATATACTTGAAATTTGATGAGAATGCATCTTTTTTTCTTTAAGATTTATTTTTATTTATTTATTTGAGAGAGCGTGTGTGTGCATATGCATGCACACATGAGCATGTGCATGAGCAGGGAGGGGGGCGGCACAGAGGGAGAGGATCCCAAGCAGACTCCTTGCTAAGTGCAGAGCCTGAGGTGGGGCTCATGGCTGGGCTTGATCCCAGGACCCTGAGATCATGACCTCAATCAAAACCAAAAACCAGAGGCTTAACTGCCTGAGCCACCCAGGCACCTCACTGAGAGCGGATCTTACGTGTTCTTACCACACATAAAACGTAGTCACTATATCAAGTAAAGGATTTCTTAGCGAGATTGTGATAATTATTTCACAATGTATTCGTGTATGTCAAATCATCACGGTGTACATCTTACATATACATAATTTTGTCAATTACATCTCAACGAAGATGAAAAAAATCTATGTCATCATGTATGACAATAGGGAAAAAATGTAGTAAGGACGCAATTTCATTATTCTTCAAATGTGTGAGGATCTACAAAGAAAAGAAGATACAGCAGAAGCTTGGTGGTGGTATAGCTTCAATGCAAGTTTGGCCATTACACCACTTTAAATCATGTATCATATGTATTACCATAGGCACTTCATTAACATTATTGTAAATATTTATACAAACTGAAAGAAGAAAACATAAAAAGGATTACTTTTGTTATAAAACATCCCACATTTACCAACACCTAAGTCCTCTTTCGATTTAATCATTTCAAGCAGAGTTCTCATGAAATTGTAATTAAATTGAATGTATACATTTGTGTTTGTAACATAGCTTAATTTTACATAAGGATATTCACTAATTTATGCATTATTTTAAAAGCAAAATTTCATTTCAATAATTTATCTCCCAATTTTCCAAGCTAAGAGCACTGACACCTTTTTTTCTTTGTTTTTATTATCCTTTTTTTTTCAAGGTTTGATGATTTTTTCCTTTGGAATTATTATTTTTGGATATTTAACCAAAGTGGGATTACTACATCAAAGCTTTTCTGTCTCCTTGTACATATTACCTATTATTCTCCAGAAAGACTATACAGTTTTTATTTCTGTCTATAAAGTTGGAAAGCCAAATATTGGTTCATTCTCTTCAAAACTTTAAAGAATAATATTGTATAGCATTGGTATATATGAATAATTTTTTAAAGTTAAGCTTTCTTCTATGTTTTTCATTGTACATTTATCTATAACTTCACATTATTGAATGTATCAAGTTTCAGTGGCATTTTAAATGCACAGTTTTCTATGAGGCACCATTTATTCATTTATTCCACACATGGTTGCTGAGTTCTTACTTGTAGGACATAACATACCTGTAACGGAAAGCCTTTCCCATACTTGGTCATGTCTAAGACTTAATACAGCATCAGACAAGCTGTATGACCATGTCCTACGCTCTGTGAGGCACCAGCTGATGTGGATACTTACAGGTTTTGCCACCCATCTTCACATTCTCTACGATAACAAGGTTATGGTTTGGGCTTTTGTGACCCACCATTCTCCCCCTCAGCCCACCTGCATTAGGTAAGACTGATTCCTCACTACTCACTCCCCAGCAACACAAGCAGACCGCGTTGTGCAGGCCTATGTCATTCAGTGCATTTCCTTCGTCAGACCTCAGTGACCACTCAGAGATGGACACATCATCTAATGGAACCAATGAAATGGACCAAGACTCCTCCTTCTTCCTGGAACAGGAGCAGAGCTGCGGAAGACGCTGGAGCTGTTGTTGCTACCACAGAGATCTCGCTGGGACCCAACACTGCAGAAGCTGGTCTCTTCTGGAGCCCAAGAAAGCTTCAGCTCAGCCACATGGCTGGAGGGTCTGCTCATGCATGCAGACGCTAAGACTGCACCTGCCTGCACAACCACACCAGTCTGTAGGTTTGCTTTAGGCTTCAGTCAGTTTCGTTTTTAATCACTCTCAACCTAAACTATACCAATACATATTTTGGGTTCACAATAAACACAAGATGGTAAAACCATCCCTGTTCTGTTGGACTTACAAAGCCAACAGACTAATTAGACATACAGATTTTATCAAATAATTATAAATATGGTGATTTAGTGTCTGTGATACAGTTGCAGCTGTGACAAGTATGAGATCTGTCGAACTTGGGTTCTCCCACATTAGGTAGCCCTCCGGGATCCGAGGCTCTATCTGTCTGTCTGGAGAGTATATATATTGTACAGAGTTCTCTGCAAGTGCTTGAGAGAGAGCATTCCCAAGAACAGATAGGTAAGTAGAATTGGAGTGGCATTTTAAACACAAGGAAAATAGCACACAAAAGCATGTGGTAAGGGCGCCTGGGTGGCTCAGTTGGTTAAGCGACTGCCTTCGGCTCAGGTCATGATCCTGGAGTCCCTGGATCGAGTCCCGCATTGGGCTCCCTGCTCGGCAGGGAGTCTGCTTTGCCCTCTGACCCTATCCCCTCTCATGTGTTCTCTCTCATTCTCTCTCTCTCAAATAAATAAATAAAATCTTAAAAAAAAAAAAAAAAAAGCATGTGGTAAGAAAGAACATGAGCAAAAGAAGGCCAGAAAGTTTGTGGGAAATGAGTGAGTGAAATTTGAGTGGGAGGAGCTTAAATCTGCAAAAGCCAGCATGAGACTTTTGCTAATTACCTTATGAGCGAACATAAAAGAATGAAAGGGGGCTTTGAAAAGGGGCACGTGTGATGAGATTTACTTTTTAAGGAGATAATTCCTATTGCAGTGTGGAGAGCAGAATGGTTGAGAGAGCAGTGGAGGCAGGGCTTTGCTAGATGAGGTGTGGTGGGAGAGAGCGCTGAGAGGAACCCCAGGACAGCCACAAAACACACACACACACACACACACACACACGGTGAAGATGGGGATGGTTTGCGGGACAGCAGTGGGGGCAATGCTTATTTTGCCATTTTGTCTAAGACATAAATGGCCCTGAAGCCATATCCAAACCTTTTCATTTCACAAGTTTCGGTTTTTTGTCCCTCGTACTACAAAGGGGAACGAACTGAAGCAACTCTACAATTTGATTAATCCAGATTTTTAAAAAAAATGTACAGACGTTTTCACAAGAATATCACTTCATTTATTTAACTATATTCCTCATTTACCCAACCCACTTTTAAGTGTAAATACAACTTGGAAGTGTTCTGGTAAGATTCACTTAATGAAAGAGTTTTTAAAACTCAAAGAAAAATCTTCATTCTACTTACTTGATCTTTTCCTTTTCTTCCTTAATTTTCTCTAGTGATAATTTTAGGAAATATCATTGAATATTTACTAAAATCTAAAAATCAGTAATTACAATTTACTGATAATATGAAAAGCAAGTCTTCTCATTTTCAAACTGACCCTGGCTGATTATTAGTTCGACTATTTCATGTCATACTTTATCACATGTAAAATTATAAAAAGCACATTAAAATGGCATGAAAGATAGTTTTTAAAAATAGAATTACCTATTCTGTCATTACAAATATCTTCAGTTTGTATATTTCCTTCAGATACATATACATATTTATTTCTGTGATTTTAATAAAAACAAACATGCATTTATCTCCACTTGATACAATCCATTTTTTAAGCATAGTCTTCAAAATTATAATTTCATGATTACATAACAACCCTTTGAAATTTCTGTCATCGTATACAAACTTATCCTCTCTTAGCTGACAATTTATTTCCAAGTTTTTACTATTTTAGATAGTACTGTAACAAATGATTTTATACTGAATATTTTTAACATATTGCCAATGTCTCCTTCAGGAAATGGAGAAGCAAAATCAACCCTGGTTAAGAATCATGGCACCATACAAAAAACCCACTTGACTTCAAACTCTACCCAGTGCCAGTTACTTGATTCAAATGAAAATGTTCATTTAAATAATTTGATTCTGCCTCCTTTAGTAAACTCAATCAAATTCAATTGGTCATTACTATTTGTCTTATTGTTATTATTACTGTTAATACTTGGGATCTCTCACCAACAATATGATTTGCATATGGTTTCCACCGAGTCAGGAGCGGTTTGGGCACCCTCAAGGTGCCATTTTTTTTTTTTTTTCCAAACACTATCTTGGAACTAGTAGTTTTGCTTCTTACAAATAATTTTGAAAGCAATTTTTCCTTTTTGAGTTACAAGATTCTGTCTTATGCTTACAACTCTAAGGTGAAAGAAATGTAAGCAAAAGAACTTTGTTTCCATATGCCCATGTAGCTGATCAGAAGGGGAAAATACATATTCTTCTTTTTTAGACATCTATATATTAATTAATTTACTCATTCACTCATCTATTCATCGATTCATTCTTATACTTATTGGTGATTCATATGTACATGGTTCTGGGTATACCCTGGAAAACGAAAGTTAGCCTTTTTCCTCAAGGACTTTATTAGATGGGGAAAGTTGACATTTGAGTGCAAATACCTAATAGTAGGAAATAATAGTATAAGGTAAGTACTGAGTGCTAAGGGAATGGCACCCAAATTCTTTACAACCCAAAAGGTAAGAGCCTGGCTTAATTCTGGGGTTCATTGTTGGAAAACTTTTAGGTAAATTCCTAATTCAGAGTAGCAAGTCTACAGATTTCTGACTGACAATCAGTAGGAAAAGCTTTCTGTAGGGGAAGAAAAGTTTGTATTCTTCATCATTCTTTATTCTAGAACAGTCCTTGAAAAATGCTATCATATATAAGCACATAGTAATCAATTTGGTTTGATTTCTGGGGAAACTTTGACCTTGTGAATAAAACTTTTTTCTTATCACTTAAGATTATTTCTCTCAATAATGAGATAAAGTGTAAGAATATAGATGTTGGCAAATATTACCAAATTAAATCATAAAAAGGATTTCTTTTTTTCCTTTAGTTGCACTGAGATGTAATTGACATATAACACTGTAAACTTAAAGTGTACAAGTTGATTTTATTTTTTAAATATTTTATTTATTTATTTATTGAGTGGGAGTGGGGAAGGGGCAAAGGGAGAGAGAGAATCTCAAGCAGACTCCCCACTGAGCACGAAGCCCGCTTTAGGGCTTGATCTCCTAACCCTGAGATCATGACCTGAGCTAAAATCAAGAGTCAGACACTTAACAGACTGAGCCACCTAGATGCCCCGATTTGGTACACTTAAATACTGAGAAATGATTACCACCATAGCGTTAGCTAACACCGCCATTACATCACATAATTACCATATCCCATTTGTGATGAGAACATTTAAGATTTACTGTCCTGGTAAGTATATGACATAGTATTATTAACTATGATCACCATACTATACATTAGATCCCCAGAACTTATTCGTCTTATAACTGGCAATTTATACCCTTGACCAACATCTCCACATTTCCTCTACTCCAGCCTCTGGTGGTCACTGTTCTACTCTGTATTCCTATGGTTTCAGTTTTTTTAGGTTCCACCATAAAAGTGATATCATACAGTACTTGTCTTTGTCTAACTTACTTCATTTGTGTCCTGAGGGGCATGATGTCTCTTCAGGTCTGGCAACTGGGTCTGCAATATCAACAACTGTGTGCTTCTTGATGAGGGGGTCTGCAGTGGCTGCAAGGGTTGCTGGGGTCCTCAGAAGCTTCCAGGTCAAGTGGCTCCAGACCGGGGCAGACTGCCGTGGTAGCCACTCTTGGCTGTGTGCACCCTTGGTTGAGGGGGCTAGCTGTAGTTACCTGTGCAGTGGCAGTGGCTGGTTGCAGATGCACATATAGTGGTGGGAGTCCCAGTAGACAGCAAGTGCTGGGCCAACTTTGGGCACAATGATAGCTGGGGAGATCCCGGCTGTCAGGGTGTACCACTGGGTTTTGTCACGGATGCATGACAGTAGAAGCCAGTGATGGTAGTTGTGCAGGGGTGTGCAGGTGCACAACCGAAGGTGCTAGCTGCAGATGAGTGCAATGGTGTGAGCTAGTGACAGGAGACAGGGCTTCACCTGTGTCCATAAGCACCTGCGGGGGCCCTGGCTGTCGGAGGTGCTCTCCTGTGAATGCGCAGTTTTCCTCAAGTCACGCATACATTGTGGAGGCCAGGGTCAGGCATGAGGCCAGTGGCGTCTAAGTGCCTCATCGAGGGGCTAGCCCCAAGTACACACAAGATGGTGAGGGGCAGCAACAAGAGAAGGGAGGGACTCAGGTATCTGGTGTCAGTGAACATGAATACCTACGAGGCGAAAGCTGGAGAAACGTGAAGGGGGTGGTGATAGCCTTTGGTTCCTTCTTCAGTGGCCAAAATGAACTGAATGAATGTCAGCAGCTCTACTGTTGGCAATAGCTTTGTGATCATTGCTCAGCGTTAAAATGAGGAGTAAAATTAGGTCCTGTCTTACAGGTGAGAATTAGATGGCTTTACAACATGGTAAAACACAAAACCATGACAGACACACATTACATGTACAATAAGCAGGACTGTTAATAGTACTAGAGTTCTGGGCACCTGGGTGGCTCAGTTGGTTGAGCGACTGCCTTAGGCTCAGGTCATGATCCTGGAGTCCCGGGATCGAGTCCCGCATCGGGCTCCCTGCTCAGCGGGGTGTCTGCTTCTCCCCCTGACCCTTCCCCCCTCTCATGCTCTCTCTATCTCATTCTCTCTCTCAAATAAATAAATAAAATCTTAAAAAAAAAAATAGTACTAGAGTTCTTCAGACATTTTCACTGTCTTCACTGGCAACCTTCCCAGCCTTTATCATCTTTCCTAAATACACCACAAGAGATAATTACTTCAGATAATACACAATAAAAATATGAAGTGTTTAGTTTCAAAAATTTCAAGATTTTTTGTTATCTTTTCTGTTAATGTAGCTCAGAATATGATAATTTTAAAATTCCTACATTCATGACAACATCTGGCTATAGAAGATGACATTTTGTGCAGAATTTTTATTTATGCTCTCTACTTTCATCAGAAAATTTGTCCCCTGACAGCTTTAAGTGTCTTTAAATATTTTTACGTTATTATGAGACAAAATACGAATAAATTCTGTCTGACTTAATAATTCACGATGTTTCAAGGGTTTTTCCAAAATGTAAATTGTTCCTGCTCCCATTTTATTACCTGTTACATAATATTAACATATATAACAGATGAGTCTCAGAAGGGTACTATAATATTAATTTTGATTTGACTTTGATTAGATTTTTATTGTCTCTTCCATTATGTATTATCCACACTAACACTATAATAGGCTTTTGTGTATAATAATCAAAGATTTATTACATTTCCCATTTAAAAAATATCAATGGTGTTATGCATTGAATCATGAGCAAAAAGTATGCTACTTTGAGTGGAGGATATTTTTTCAACTCTGAAAAAAATGGTATTCCTTATAAAAAGCAGCAGTGTTTTTAAAGTCTATACCACTATTTGAAAAACATGAATATGTGCATTGTTCTTAAATAGCTGCAGATGGAAAGATAACATTGAAGACATACCAATATTACCCTCATATATTTCCCTTACAGTCAGCTTCAGAACAATCCTACATTGTCAGTCATTCCTTACAAATTAAAGGGTAAATGTTTATTTAACATATGCATGTCCATTTCCTTAATATTCCAGATTTATAACTAGTAAAAATGTGCTAGACCAGCACTTACACATAATTTTTTTAAAAATTTTGGAATAGTTTGAGAACACATGGGATTTAGAAGTTCTTCTCCTCTGCACTTCTTTGTGCCCTGGGCAAGCTTAATTGTGTAGAACATACTAAACTTCCTTTCCCACACCCTTACCACAAAGTGAGGAACATTGCGTTTTGTTTCTCTCCATTCTTGGGACACCTAACAGAGAAGCATGCAAGCTGGATCCCTGTTTTCCTTCTGACCATTAGGTTTTCCTTCTGGCCACTGAATTGTATAAGGAGCCAATGTGTAATGCATCCCCCCAGAAATGGCTGCGAGATGAAAGAAAATAACCTGAATTACATAGTCTAACTACTTTACTCTCTATCATAGTAGAACGGCATTTTGATGTGAAGTAAGTTTTCACCAATTTGACATCATTTCAGGGAAAAATTACTGAGTCAGTCCTGTGTCGTTGTTTTTGTTTTTAATCCTATTTGTTACAAAAGAAAAAAAACACACACATTTATGTCATACATGAAACACCAATCACAGAGCTAACACTGAGTTAAACTCTTTCAGTCAGCTAAGAACATTAAAACTAGCAATGGCAAATCTGTAGTGGGAAGATTAAAGCCTTTTTTTTTTTAATAAGAAAATAAGATTGTCTCACTGCATTTTTCGTGGCTTAAAAATTCATTAGCCCTACACTTCAGTTGCTCATCACTCCCAAGGCAGAAATCGTCCCCTTCATTTAATGGCTTATAGAAAGTGTAAAGGGCACTATTCTACCCATTCTGATGCTTTTGCAAACAATGATCACACAGGGAGTTCTCAATAATCTTTTGTGCCCTCTTAGAAAAATGGATTGTAAGCCA